ACAAAATCTGTTTCTCTATTTCTCAGGAACTCATATTTATGTTGGGTATACAATGTTTGTGGTTTTTTTCCTTGTTATATTTTGCAGGAGGATTACTTGGCCTGTGGAGATACCACATGTATTCCAAGGAAGCAGTTCTGTGATGGCACTGAGCAATGTGCTGATGGCTCAGATGAGGCTTCCTGTGGTGAGTGGATTTTGTTTACATTTTGGAATGGGTGTCTGATAAGTTTTTCTTTTCAAACTTGCCAAAAACAAACTGGGAAAAAAACTTCTCTGATTTCTGAAAAACAGCTTGAACTTTTGAAAGTATCCAAAATTAAACCAAGTCCTGAAGTAAAATGGCTAGGTTTTTTCAAGAAGTAGTAGAGGACTGATTTTGTTGGGAATGGGTGGCTACTTTCTGTTTGCCCCTACTGATACTTTGAGTGATGGGGTATGACTTCTGAAGGCCTAATTGTATTTTGAAGCACCTTCTGATAGACTTCTTACTATACAGATGAAGCAGTACACGCTTCAGGGTTCTCTTAGAACATATCTGCATTGAATATTTTTGGTTCCCCTGAATTTTTTTGCTGATTATATTCCTGTTGAAATACAATATATTTTTTCATTATTTGGAATTATTGAGTGTCTTCAAATAACACCTTGCAAGGTTCCATAGAGTTATTTCAGTTGGACTCTCTCAACAACGATTTTCTCTGTATAACGAATTTTGTTTTGGTCCAACAGGGTTCTATTCTCTCTTTACACTTGGTTGTTTTTCTTGAAATGAAATGAAAAAAATGTGAAGAGTCCACCTGCAATTCAAAATGCCTCTTTCTGTCTGTCTCTCTGTTTGTATCTGTCTCTGTCCCTCCTTCTGTCTGTCTGTCCCTCCCTCCTTCTGTCTGTTTGTCCCTCCCTCCTACTGTATGTCCCTCCTTCTGTCTGTCTGCCCCTCCCTCCTTCTGTCTGTCCCCTTTTCTGTATGTCTGTCCCTCCTTCTGTCTGTTTGTCCCTTCTTCTGTCTGTCTCTCCCTCCTTCTGTATGTCTCTCCTTCTGTCTCTCCCTCCTTCTGTCTTTCTAGCCTTCTGTCTCTCTCTCCTTCTGTCTTTCTAGCCTTCTGTCTCTCTCTCTCCTCCTGTCTCTCTCTCCTCCTGTCTCTCTCTCCTCCTGTCTGTCTCTACTCCTGTCTGTCTCTCTTTCCTCCTGTCTGTCTCTCCTTCTGTCTCTCTCTCCTTCTGTCTCTCTCTCTCCTTCTGTCTCTCTCTCCTTCTGTCTCTCTCTTCTCCTGTCTGTCTCTCTCTCCTCCTGTCTGTCTCTCTCCTTGATTTTGCCCTGTTACTAAAGCACAAAAATTGATACTAAAAATGGAGGCTAAATGCGTGTGTGTCTTTCCTTTCAATCTCTTCCGTTTCTTTATTTTCTAGATATCAACAATGACCCCAACCGAGCCCCAGTGTGCAACCCGGAGATCTGCACGATCCCCGAGTGCTTTTGCTCGTTGGACGGCACGGCAGTGCCTGGGAACTTGGATCCCCAAAAGATCCCGCAAATGGTGACGCTGACGTTTGACGACGCTGTCAACGTGGCCAACATTGAGTTGTACAATGAGATTTTCAATGGACAACGAGTGAATCCCAACGGGTGCGGAATGAAGGCCACTTTTTTCGTGTCTCACAAGTACACCAATTACTCTGCAGTCCAGGACATGCACCGACGTGGACACGAAATTGCTTCTCACTCCATCACGTGAGTGTCATTTTTGTTGTTGATCCCTTTCCTTTACAAATTTATTTTTGTTCAGTTTGATGTTGAACTGAATTCTTAGTGAGTTTGAGTGTGAAGGCTCAGTTGTCACAACTGTTTTTTTTTCTTCACGGTTATGTGGCACTGAGGTCATCATAATTATTTTAAGTATCGCGAGAGAAAAAAAGTACTGCATTTCTTTGGTATTTTACGCTCAACTAGGGACTAAGAATGGGATGACAGATGGAGGAAACTTTCGTGAAGACCCTTGTGGAATTATTGAAGTGTCAAAATACTGTACTTGAATCCTCTGAAAAAGAAGTACAGTGAGACACCCACATGCAGGACACCTCATCATGAAGACAATTTGACATAGGGACACTTATTTTCCCATTGAAAAAAAAGTAAAAAATGCACAAAATGAGGACACTGACTCAACATAGGGACATTTTGTGATAAAATTGCAAATATATTTCAAGCCAAATTACAAGAAACAGATATTTTCAACCCTAAATTTGATGCAGGAAAAGTTCTTGGGCATTTCTCTCACCAATTTAAAAATTGCAAATATATTTCAAGCCAAATTACAAGAAACAGATATTTCCAACCCTAAATTTGATGCAGGAAAAGTTCTTGGGCATTTCTCTCACCAATTTACCATCCATTTGGCTAATTTTAAAAAATTACCTCCGGCATAGAGGGACTTTCTTCTCTCTTTTTCACTTGAAAGGTATTTTTACAGATAATGCCAACATTTCTATGTACTTCACAGATGTATCAGTATTCCATTCCCCAAATGTCCATATTGTGTTGAAATATATTGATTGAATCAATTTAAATTGGGAGACCATTTTTATTTTCATGGAATTATGATGACTATTTGGTCCATAAAACACATATTAAAAATTATATAATGTAAGTCTAAGGGAAAATGAGACTCAAATTAGAGACATTTTGACATAGGAATACGCCTGATGCACCAATTACAACTGCATCTTCGGATATCACTGTATCTAGAAAAATCGAAGCAAAGAGAAGATCCCTTGGAAATTGTTGAAGAGTGCAGTAATTTAAGTTCTGTATCAGTTTGAAGCAAAGTAACAATCATATTTTTTATGCAATTGCATTTTTCCGATATGAATAAACTCTGGTGAAAATTTACTTTCCTAAAAGCCCGTCAGTGTTATTAAATTTATTAATTTTAATCCATTTGGGAATACATTTCGGTGAGGACGTTCTACCACAAAACATCTCCAGAAGATTTTTTTCCAGTTGACGGTATCAAATGAGAGTGAGGAGAACTTTAGTGAAGACCCTTCAGCTGAAATCATTTGCAGATAAGCTGTATTTTTTTTTTTGGCTGCGCAAAAGGGTAATACAGTATTCTAAGTGAAATCCAAGGGGAAGACTATTATATCCTTTACGAGTGTTGTAAGATATTTTATGCCAATAACCTTGTATTCGCGTTTAATGACCGCTTCTGGGCAGGTTCAAAAGTTTATTGGATATCGTGGAATAAAATAAATTTGTAACGGAAGGCAAACGAAAAATCGGGTTTGAGAAAAGGGCATTTTTGAGTAATGTTTTCTGGACTAAAAGCCACTTTGATTCAATTAGCTCCCATAGATGGCGTTCGGTGAGTGCTTTTGAACCGGTGTTTCTGGAATAATCCTTGGAACGGAATCTTCAAATTAAGAACGAGGGTCAGTTCCAAGAGTTCAACCAAATTCTAAAAAGTTTATTTTAAACAAGTGACGCACATTTAGAGTGAGATACGATTCTGGAAATAGGTTTTTTTTTAAAACATTTTCAGGATTGTCGTTATACTGTACTGGTAAACTTATTCAAAGATTTTCTTTCTGACGATTTTCTCTGTATAACGAATTTTCTTGTGATTCTTAACTTGTTGAAAAATCCCAATTTTTCCCGAAATTTACTAAATTTTTGCTTTGGGGAAGCAAACACTACTCAATTTTCTCCACTCCAATCGTTGCCTGGATTTGAAATATCCAGAATGTCAACTTAGAAAGTAAAAAAAAAATTCACGAACTCATTTGTCCAGAAAACTTCCTTAAACAAAACCTCTTTTCAAGCCCTCTTTCCCCACCAATGAATTTTCGTTTGGAATTTTTTTTTTAATTCCACGCGCAATTTTTTATATGGGAATCTCATTAAATTTGTCTACTTCAAAGTGTGAAAATTGCCATTATTTTGGCACTGTAATGTACTCCATAAAGAAATTGTGCGTCCAAAAAGGAAGAAAATTGAGCAATGTTTTCCATTTGTATAATGCTGAAATATTAATTTTCAATATTACTCATAGTACGGCGGATAATTGCGTGAATATGCAGTGAAATCTCGGTACAACAAAAGCCATGGGTACCGGGGGAAAAATGGCATGCTATAAAAAAATAATATTGAAGAAATTCAAGTAACCTTTTGCACATGGACCTGAGAAAAGTAATTCATTCCTTTGAGATTTGTACTTTCTTGCATGATCTCTGATATACATGCATTTCACGCATGCCATGGATTTCATTTGCATTTGCTACATGTTCCAAGGGGGCTCCATCATATGATTATACAAGTGCACTCTCTGCCATGAAAGTCTAGAGACCACAAACACAAATTTGTAAAAAGAGCATTTTGTTATAAAGAACCCCTGTGTATTTTCAAAAGTTATTGATATGCATTTTTAGATAAAACATTTAAGCAGTGTCAACAATCCCAAAATTCCTGAAATTATTAGCTTCTTGAAAAAAAGTGAGACCCCCGGATGCGGAAATAATTGGTGCATCAAGAGTGTCCCTAAGTTAAATTGTCTGTAATTCGAGTCTTGTTTTCCTATAGGCTTACTTCATATAATTTTTAATTGGTGTATTATGGAATAAATATTCTTCAGAATTCCATGGAAAATAAATTGTTTGTTGCTTGAATTTGATCCAGTGAATATATTTTCAACTCAATAAGAACATTTGGAGCATTGAATAGTTTACTGCTGTACAGTTCATTGAAATGTTGGCATCTGTAAAAATAACATCCAAGTCCCAAAGAGAGAAGGAAGTCCCTCTATGCAATAGGTAATTTTTTTAAATTAGCTGAATGGATGGGAAAGTGATGGGAAAAGTACCAAAGAGTTTTTCTTGCATCGATCTTGGGTTTGGAAATACTGTATCTGTTTCTTGCAATTAAACCTAATAAAAGTCAATTTTCCTAAAATGTATGGGCAATTTCATCATGCAATGTCCTCATGTTGAGTCAGTGTCCATATGTTGGGCCTTTTCATGAATTTTTTTTTTATTGAAAAATAAATGTTAGTATGTCAAATTGTCCGCATGTCAAGGTGTCTGCATGAGGGGGTCTCACTGTACTCAGGATTCAAGTGTATTTTGAGGAATTTTGTGTCTGAAACATGTGGAATGTTTTGCAATTAAAACCTAAACAAAATATTGTTTCGCGCGACAGAATTTATGCATATTTGCAGCAAAGCATCCTTCAATTGATTATTTTCATAATGCGCAGACTCAGTATAAGTGCATTCAAGGCAATGGGCGGAAAATTTGCTTGTTTAATTAGTGACATACTTGAATGCCTGCGTTATTATTTTTGTTGTTGTCTTTTTTCTAGACACACCAACAACGAGACTTTCTGGTCACATGCGTCCATTGATGACTGGGCCCGGGAAATGGCTGGTTCCAGGATCATCATCGAGAAGTTTGCCAACATCACTGACAATTCAGTCGTTGGCCTGCGTGCTCCTTATTTGCGTGTTGGTGGAAACAACCAGGTACGAGTACTCTTCTTTATGTATATATTTTTCACAATTTTGATGGAAAACGCGTTTTTTTTAAAATTTTGAATATGCGTTAGAATCTCGCTGCAGAGAATTTAGAAGTATGGAATTATTGCTTGCGAAGGTTTTGTTGGATTCCTGTCCCAATAGACACGAACATAGTTGAATTTCTTGATAGCGATTGATTTTTTTTTTGACAAATTTTTTTTTTTATTGGGTTTTTTGTGACGAGATTTTTTTTATGTTAGCACTTTCAAGAAATGACGCTGCTGACGAATTTACGCGTGCGAAGAGTTTGGGGTTTTTTTGGGTTCACTGTTACGGATTTTTCGGGGAATTTTTAAATTCCTATTTTGGCATACATTTTGAAAATTGGCGTCTGCTACCTTCATAATTAAATTGACAGAAGGCTTTGACAAATTTCTAAAAAAAATGTAACTGGAACCCGAGAAAAAAACCTCAAATGCCTCGCAAGCAATAATTCGTCCGCTAATTTCATTTCTTGGAAATTTTTAAATCTTGTCACAACAGCCCCACATTTCAAACATGATGAAAAAAATCTTCGTCACGACAGAAAACTTCTTTTTAGACCCCTAACGACGTGAGAGAACTTTTGTTAGACCCCTCGTATTTATGACACGAGGCATTGTATAATTTCTTCTCATGAATTTTCCTCGTCTAACTCTTTTTTTCTTCACCACCTGTGTTGATGGGGATTTAGTTCACGATGATGGAGGAGCAGGCGTTTTTGTACGACTCCACCGTGACGGCGCCTCTGACGAATCCGCCGCTGTGGCCCTACACACTCTACTTCCGGATGCCGCATGCGTGTTACGGAAATTTGCAGAATTGCCCCACGAGGAGCCACGCTGTGTGGGAAATGGTGATGAATGAGCTGGACATGAGGGAGGATCCCACGTTTGACGAATCCCTGCCTGGTCAGTTTTGAAGAAAAAAAGGGGGGAAGATACTGTACCTTATTTATTCAAGTGCCACGCATCCTTAAGGTTAAGCCGTGCACCTAAATCTGAATAAAACACGTATTCCCAATTAAAGCGTATTGCTAATAAAGTGAGACCCCCACATGCAGATCCCTTGACCTGCAGACAATATGACATACGGACACTTATTTTCCCCATGAAAAAATCAATAAAAAAGGCCCAACATGAGGACACTGACTCAAGATACAGACATTTTGGGATGCAATTGCAAATACATTTCAGGCCAAATTACAAGAAACATATATTTCCAACCCTAAAATTGATGTAAGAAAAGTTCTTCGGCATTTCTCTCACCAATTTACCATCCATTTAGCTAATTTAAAAAAATTACCTCGAGAATAGAGGGACTTCCTTCACTCTTCTTCACTTGAATATTATTTTCACAAAGAATGCCAAAATTTCTATGTAATGTACAGATGTATCAGTATTCAATTCCCCCAATGTCCATATTGTGTTGAAATTTATTGATTGAATCAGTTTAAATAGGGACACAATTTTTATTTTCATGTAATTATGGTGAGTATTTTGTGCATAACACACCAATTGAAATTATATGTGAGTCTGAGGGAAAATGAGACTCAACTTAGGGACACTCTTGATGCACTAATTATGTCCTCATCTCAGGGTTTCACTATTCACATAAATATTTTGAAAATGAAACGCGTCAGAATTTAAATTTTTAGTAGAATCATCGATTGAATGTAAATTTTTCATTATTTCCATTTTTTTTAATTGTCTATAGAAGTTGGTTGAAATTTTTTTGGCCCTTGAACACCAACAACTCAAAAAATGCATTACAGCCTAACAGGTACAGTATTTTGAGATCATAGGTTTAAGTAATTTTATTGAAAGACAAATTTATTAAGATTGTTCTTTTGAAGAAACTGCAAGGACCTAAGGAAAAATCGTTGTGAGACCAAATTCGTTGCAACAAGATTCCTTGTAACGGAATTGTGTGTTCAGTAGCTGTTCAGAAATATATATGGTCTAAAAATGCGAACCATTGATATTTATTCGTTATATTATGGGCTTTCTTTTTAACGAATTCTTTGCTTTTCAGCATAGGCCATATCTTGAAATCGTTGAGATTGTCTAATAATAAATTGAAGAAAACATGTGTGTCACTGCAAAAATGTGCACAGAAATTTTGTATTTTCCCTTTGCCTTTTCTGCTCAACTCTAGAAAAAAAAATGAGCATCCAAAATAATATTGTAGTTACTCTAGGAACGGCTGTAGAATTATTTTTACGATGCGATTTTGAAATTTTTGGACTGTTGAAATCCATTGATGCTGCAGGAGGTCGGAAGAAAAGACGTTTCACGTAATTTTATATGATAATCCATTTTATGGGCAGGCGTTCTGATTAACTGAAAAAAAAAAACTTGCGGTCGTCCAAAATTTGGGTTTTTGCCAATAGGATTCGCTTTAGAACAAAAGAAATACAATGGAAGAATGTGAGAAATAAATATTGTGTTGTTATAATTTGCGAAAGAGAAGAAACATATTTTCTATAATTAAATTTTAAAATTGTCAAAACTCCCGAAAAAAATTCTGTGAAGGTGACAGAAGAAAAGACGTTGAACGTTATTTTATTTTTTGCTTGGTTTTAAAATTGAATTAATTTTTTGGACCGCCTTTGTGATAAAAGAAAAAATTTATTATTGTAAAAATGCGCTCAAATTCTTAAATATAATTTTTTATTGGTCTTTCTGTAGTGGTCGAGAAACAAATTTTGTCAATCATGAAGAATTTAAAATGGAAAAAAAATATTGCGTTGATATGTCCTGAGGAAGGACGCGATGATACTCGGATTTTTAAAATTGAAATTAGAGTTGAAAAACAGTCATTTTCGAACAAGATTAACCAGTATATTGACAAATGTCCAGCAACATGATTTTAAACTGTCTCACCAAAAACAACAAAAGATTCCTCAGTAAAATATGCTTGATTAGATGTTCTCATTGGAGTAGTCTTTAATTCGT